AGGGCAATTGTGAGACAGATCAAAATAATATCATAAACAACTTCGAAAAAATGTTGTCTGTTGTACATCCCACTGCCATCGAAGAAAGGCAAGAAACAATAAATATTACTGATGTAGAATACACAGATTGTGACTCTGAAATTGATGCATGTACATATTTATGTGGTTTTCTTTTAAAAAGATTTAAAAGTACATGCAATGATTGTATAATTATATTTCAGGCAAAAAGTATAGAAAGTCACCATTTATTTGTGGAGTGTAAGGAATACGAGGACAGAAAAAAAAATTGATTTATGTTACAAAAAATATGGCTGTTTGTGTGGAACAATGTGCTTCTATCACTAACGAAATATTAAAAGAAAAGGGCCATATAAAAAATCTGAAATCAACAATTTTACAACACCTACAACATAATATAAATTTTGAATTTTTAAATAACTGTCAAATCCACAAACATGAAAATATAATAAAAATTACTACAAGCACTTTTTTCATGTGTATAAAGCGATATTGTATATTGCAAAATAGAAAATTCACCGAAGAAGCATCTGCAGCTGCATTAAAAAGAAAATTGGATATTATTCAACATAAATAAGCTGCATGCACTTTCAGTTTCCTCTAATATTGTAAACTTGTTTCTTTTTGTAGTTTATACTTCTAAACCACCTGGTTTTTGTTAAAAATTGCTTAAAGTTACCATTTAAAACCAACAAAAGTTTTAAGTCAATACTTCACAATTTATTAGGAATTTTAAGAAAACTTATTTTTTTTTATGTTTGGCATTGGTTTCCAAGTTTTTTTTTATGGGATAGGGGGCAGACGAGAAGACGGATCACCTGATGGTAAGTGATTACCGTCGCCCATGGACACCTGCAACACCCGAGGGGCTACAAGCGTGCTGCCAGCCTTTGAGGGGTAGAGGGAAGGGAATAGGCCTCCAGTACCCTCACTCACACGACAAAACACAACGCAAGCGTTGCTTCACGTCGGTTTTCTGTGAGGCCGTGGTATCACTCCGGTCGAGCCGGCCCATTCATGCTTTAACATGTGTAATGTAACTAAATTTATTTCATTTTTACTTTGTCATTATCAAAGTATTCAAATAGTATTCAGTGTACTAATTTGATTTTTAGTATAAAAGAAAATGAAACAATTTGTATTTAGTTTTATGAAAAAATATTTTGTATTTGCAGTAAAAATGCAATTCCTTTTTATATTTAATATGTAGGTAACAAAATTCAAACAAGTAAAAATTAATCCGTTTGTAGTTCAATGGTGGTTTAGCTGTAACAACATTTTATCGGTTGTACATTAATAATAATACAGGAAATACAATTAAGTCAGCAACTTCTTATATAAGATATATATTCGTTATCTGATCTTTGTTTTGTTGCATATTGCTAGGGATTATGAGATATATAATAATATTACCCTTGTGAAAACTTTAAAAACAATTGTGTTTATTATTTCAACTATTGTATAAATGCATATTTTTATGATTATATTAATCATAAAGGAGCAATACCTTTGTATAAACATCTGAATTTTATTTTAACAATTAAACAGTTGTGTAAATATAACTTACTTTTATTTAAAAAATCCTTTTTTGCATAACATAAAAGGCACTCGAAGCAGAGTCACAAAGTTCATCTAATCGATTCTATATTTTGTGGTACGACTTCTGCTTCAAGTGACTTAAAATTCACTTCGGTGGTTGAAAGGCTAATTGATCCAAGCAACATTTTTTTGGCGATATTGAGTTACATATATATTTGCAATAAGTAAATTTTACAGATTTCAAATATATAATTCAATATCGCCAAAAAAATGTTGCTTGGATCAATTGGCCTTTAAAATATTTTAATAATAAACAAACCTACGTTTGAATAAGCCCGCCATAGAAAGTTATTGATTGTCTGAAAATAGATGGCGTTGAAAACAGTCCCCATTTTATGACTATGAAGTTGGCATTCTTCTCCGTTAGGAGTACTATTATTCTATGACAAAGAGTAAGTGCTCTTTATATATAGGCACCGAACACAGAACACAGAAAAGAGGTATGGTTTGTATGTGAGCGCGCCCTTTTGAAATATGATTTTATTCAAATTTTTCCTAATAATCAGGCTGCAAACAAAATAAGATAATGTTGATCTTAATTTGTAATAATCATGTACGAGTACTTTGTACAAACAGTTTCTATCAAATAATGGCCCATATTTTTTAATATTACATTGTCTAATACGCAAATATACAATTCAATATCATACCGGGGGAAACTACATTTTAGAGATTGATTGACCCTGCATTTCTGACGATTAAATAACCTATAAGCGACAGCCCTACACGTTTAAGCTATTATCTCTCGCTCGGGTCTCGAGTGCACCTACTTATATATTTGTACTGTGCCACTGTATCTTGGGCAATGTGCATGATAGTGAAGGTTCAAGCACCAAATTAGGAAACCTCTGTTTTCTTTCTTCATTAATTAAGACTGTCAATAGATGGCGCTAGTGTATCTATTGACAGTAATAAGTAACGTAATAATAATATATAACATTATATAACAATAATATATAAGTAACATAGACAACTTTTGCATAAAACTGTCATTTTTGGTTTTCTTGATGGAGATCAATGGTCATTACGAGTAATCAAAAGTATATTAACAAAATCCAAACCCAAAATAGTAGAGAGAGATTTTTATAAAATGCACACTATGGCACTTTTTTGGGCTCCTGCGGAGCGACTGCCTAATTCGCTGACCATAATTCTAAACAAAATCTCGACACACCATCGATAAGATGTCGTCTACTTTGGCTGAGTCATGGCTAGAGAGTTAGGAGATCGCGCAGAAAATGAGTGACAGAAAAGGTCATAACCTGTTGCCATCAACCCATAACTTATGCCGGCAAACATATTTTAAATCTGTGCCTAGTTCTGGCTGACTGTTAGAGAATTGTTCACCATTTGTACACAGTTTGGCGTGCAATAAACATTAAATAGATACTTCATAGGCATCATTGTTTATACAATTAATAACCATTTTGCTATGATATAAAATAGCATTGTTCAGAATCAAAAGCGAGCCCATTATCGTATTCCATAGCAAAAATTATCGTATATTGAGTAAAAATCTGCAAATTATCGTACACCAGCAAAACATGTCAAAATTCTGTAAGCAACTTTAAACTCTAAAGTTAAATATCGACGCTGGAATGCAAACATGTACTTAGTAACTTGCAAAACCATTCGGAAAATTCATGAGCCTGCGGAGTAGGCTTGGGGTGAAAGAATCGATTTGTGAAAAACCGATATTTATTTCAGCGATATTGTTAATTTCCGAATTATTGATAATCTATATTTATAGTAGAGTATATAATTCGAAATTTTGTATGATGATTCAATAAAGTTGATAAATATCACTGATATTGATATATTGACATTAATTCTAATTTGATAATCGTATGGTTATAGTATCGATGCTTTGCTAGATTCTAGAATCATATTTAAAATATCGATCCCAAAACAATATTGAATCAAAAGTATCGATAACTTAACGCTTCCACGCTTAAACAACTAAACCCATCTTAATGAAATTGATACAGAAATAGACTTAACCTTGAGTAAGGACATAGGCTACCTTTAATCGCGAAAAAGAGGTGGAAATAGGAAATGAAATATTGCATGGAAATTTGTCAATATCAACATTTATGTATAGGCAATTGATAAGTATAAATAAATACTTGATAACAAAAGTAATCTAAAAGAAAAATAATTCTGCTCAAAGAAACTATACCACGTGTATAAAATAGTCTGTAATATTTTCATATCATTCATGAAAAAAAAGGACCGTTGGTCCTGAAAATTGAGTGTAGTGCATAAAAGCCCTAAGAGAGCATCGTTCTATAAGATAAATAATAACATCTGTATAAAAATAATACTATGTAGCTACCTACCTATAAACATTCCCTTTCTCAAGTCTACGGACAAATTTGGATTCTTATTTGTATTTAGATCGGGATATGATCAAAGGGAGATAATAAATTATCATATAACTATTATGGTAATGCTGCCCTCTATCAAATTTTGAAGAAATTAGTATGCTAAATATGTCACAGTATATTATTAGATTGTAGTGCCTAGATGGCGTTGTACTCCGAGCATGCTTTATGTCAAATAGTGTTGCTTAGATTATATTGTTCATCAAGAACTGGTTTCAGTATATACAAAGAAAATGTTTAAAGTATAATATTATTTTTCAATAAATCAACCATCCAATAGGGCAAATATAATTTAATGGGGAGTTTTTGTGTACCAAGATAACTCTGTTAAAATATTCTGATCGTAATCTTTAACATGGTAGCAATCCCGTTTTTAACAATAATTCAGATTTATTATTTAAGTTTATTTTTTGCAATTTCACCCATATTATAAGTTTTGGTCGCAGATCTTGGTATACAACTTCCTTAATTGAATATTTGCATAGGAGTTAGTAAGTCATAAACTTCCTGTGTAAATCAAAATCTAAATATCCTGTTATTATGCAATTTGAAAACAAATGGATATTCAAGTTACAATTAAATAAATAGGTCAATGTTTAATTCACTCAATCGTTTCGTAAAAACAATAAATTTTGCTTTTAAAATGCCGCCACTGCCATGCAGTACAATCACTATCGATGATTTATTACTGTATAAAAAAAAAGAATAATAATAAACGATGATGATGCAAACGTGAGAATATAAAAATGGGTTAGTTATTTTATTAGGTTTCATAATGCGTATATGAAACCCTTGAGAAATGTTTTGGCTATATCCAAATGTTGCCGAGAGAAATGTAGACAAAATGTTTCATATGTTTGTCGTGCATGCTATTCACATGAAAGAGCATTTAATAATTTAAATTATACACTGTTCTTAGTATTACTAGTCAGTCACTGTAAATTAATTGTCACCGCGTTCGAACGATTTTCACAACACTAGAGTTAAATAACAAGTTGCATTCGCAAACGAAGCTGCTTTTTTGTCGTCCGAATCGTCGGATTTAATTTCGCGCTGCGTAAATAGTTTAAAAAGATGTGTTTATAAATTGTCCAAATGACAATAAACATTTACGTATGTGGAAAATGATAACATACGGCTCTGGTAGTAATTCTACGGCACTGGAGGATACAGGTGCAAGACGAGGATTTTTGTTGTTGTGTTTGAATTTTGATTTTTTGGATCTAACTTTTTAATATTTTTAGGTGAAGTGAAGAGTATTTGCGAGAGTGTCGGAAGTGATGGTTCCAGTGCTACAGTGCAGCCAGGGGCCGCTAATCAGCGGCCCCGGATGGATATTGCCTGTGTTTTGGATGTACATCAATCCACACACCTAAGTCATAGAAGAAGAGCGCTCGAAGAAGTTCGCCTGGCTTCTGACCTTGTAAACGCTAATTTGCACCACATACATGTGAGTATTATCTTTTGTTAATTTTTGAAGGTCATTCCCACAATAATTAGGTAAGTACATAGGCTATTCTTGTGTCATAATAATGAAAATTCCAGCAGATGTTTGTTTATAAACTTGTTACTAGTTCTCTATTTGATGAATTAGATGTTAATGACCCTATTAGAATATTACTATTTCCATTATTCACCACTTAATCATAAATGAATGTAGCATACTATCAGTTTTTTTTTACAAGTAAGAAACAAATTTTAATTATAATTGATACTTATGAACTTTACACTCTTAATAATATACATACTCCTATTATGAAAAATTATTTCTTTCAGTTTGAAAAATTGGATTTTGGTGAGACCAGTGTATTGGATACATTTTATAATGCAGATGTAGCTTTAGTAGACTTAAGTCTACAGGTACAACAGAGTTCTCTTCTTTACCATCTCGGAGTACGGGAGAGCTTTGATATGAAAGAGAATGTTTTACTTTTTAATGACATTGATGCTGATTCTACATTGCGTTTGAAGGTAAGAAAAGAAATTCCTTAGTTTTCAGGAGAAATTATTGTTACAAACCTCAAGAATACTAGATTCACAAGAAAATTAAGTAATATATCACTAAAATTTGAACAATATTAAGTGGATACTAATTTTTATAGGTGTTCAATCTAATTTTCACTCATATTGTTATTAAGTGAAGGTTTATATCACAATTTATATGTTGTTTTCATTGATATTTTCCTTGTGAATGGATTTACCCCAAATGTTGCATACAAACTAACTTCTTCAACGGATGCTGGGAAAACCCATGTATGTTGAGTCGTTCAAAGTCCAAATAATGTATTATAGTATTGACTATAATACAATGCCTATTGTTGTTCAATCATAGGAACTAGGACTTGACAGTGTATACATTTGAAATATTATTTTCTTTTTCTGAATGAAATCTGGTAATTATTTAAATACTGTTATTTATTTATTTATTTAATCTTAATTGCCTAATGTAATAGTCGGCAAATAGACAACTGTGGTCCTTTTTATAATATAAGATAGTGTTAAAAATAATGATATAATAATGTGGTCTATAAAATTCAAAGTATTATAAAAATGTGTTATTCCTGGAAATTCCATTTTATGTAAACATTTTAGGAAACTATCTTTCATCACTATCAGTCACATGTATGTCTGTCCTGTTTGTCATAGCTATTTGCTTAGAAATTGCTAAATGTCATAGTATTAAGTCATAGTTTGATGCAAGTATGCAATCGAAAGATGGATCTGATGATGATGGGTAGTGGATGGAAAGTTCTGTACCAAATTATCTGGTCTTAATGCCTCTTCGACATTAAGTCTGCCATTTGTCTATTTTACTAGGCAATTAAGATTAAATAAATATATATAACATGAACCAGGCAAAAGTTACCATTTATCTCTGAAAAAACTTAAAATTTTTGAAATTATATCAAATGCTTAGTCTTTTTATGTACTTATTGAATATAAAAAAATGGGAGTTTATCACCCAGTGCCACAAACATCTATTAAATTAAAATACACCAATATAAATTTTCAAATTATAACAGTAATTAGAGCTTCAAGTCGCCATCAAACTTTAATGGATGTTACTGCATCTGACTGTAATTTAATATTTGTAGAGAATCAGTGTGTTGCTGTGAACATTTCTGTTAACCTTATTACAGATGTCACTGCCCAACTTTCTCTTTGTGTCATATAAATTAACGGAAGCTGGAACTTGTGTGACAACTAACCCGGCAGCTACAAAATTCAAAGGAGAAGAATCTGCAGATCCTAAGCAGCACTTGATATTTCGGTTAAAGAATATTCTGCAAGATGTGGAAGTTCAGACCAAGTGAGTTATTATCAATAACCTATAGATCGCCATTAATAAAATGATAGGTCAACATAGACTGAGAAGCTTCATGAATCATATGCAGTTTGAAACAGCTTTGACTACCAAATTGAATTTAATTAAAATTGAATTTCAAAAATAAACTTATTCTTAATACAAAGTGTTTAAAAAATCCACTTGGTCCCTGGCACCCTGAGATGGGATTCGAACCCACGACCTTTCGCAAAACGGGCAACTGCTCTAACCACTGAGCTATCCAGGACCTAAACCAGGGTGCCAGGGACCAAGTGGATTTTTTAAGCATTTTGTATTAATAATAATTTTCAGCATAGTGAATGCGAAATTAATCAAAAATAAACTTTTTAATAGTTTATACCTTTTACCCACGTTACTTACGTGAAGAATGCGGGCAAAATAATCATGTTTTTGTTTTCCGACAACAAATAATTTTAATTTTGATATTGTTTATTCATAATACCCAAAAAGGCAAGCCAACCAAATGGAAATAAAACTGTTTTTCTCAGAGCTCATCTTCAAGAAAAATTCCTGTCCGATCTCCGAAAAGCTCGTGAAATATACAGTGGCCAAGAATTAGCGAATGTGTTACATGCAATGAGGCGGAGATTAGACGACCCGGCTGTTCTTTCCGGTGACACAATTCTGAACATGTTAATATCTTATCGAGAAATTCAAGATTACGATGCCATAGTGCAAGTGGTGGATGATCTGAAAACAATAATGAATAGGAAGAACTATGTAAATATGCCTATAATTAGGTTTATGTATGCGTTTGCTATGAATAGGTAAGTGGAATTAAAGAATATAGTTTTGTTGAAGACACCACATCAAAGACGCAAGACTGTTCGCATTTAGCTCGAAATTTCTTAGTAATCAAAATACGATATAATTAATTGCACTATTGAACATAAAATTTACCAATAAATAAATTTTAAGTTCTAAAGTAATTTCTAGGCCTGATGGCAAAGTCCTTTGAATTATTATTATTTATATGCAGCGTTTTATGAGTTACTATATATTTTAGACGAAACAAAGAAGGGGACAGGGAGAATGCACTCAAAGTATGTGTGAAAGCATTGGAGAAGAAAGAGAATCAGTTCCCTGACATGCTATGTCTTTGTGGAAGGATATATAAGGACAAATTCGTCGAATCTCAGCACACGGACATGGAGAGTTTAAATAATGCTATTCATTGGTAAGATTACTAATATTTGTTATGAAACTTTTATATTTTTTTAGAGAGTGATTTGTATACATTTTTTCGTTTAGGTACAGACAGGGTTTTGAAGTGCAACCAAATGAGTATGCTGGCATTAATTTGGCAACACTTTTAGTTATAGCGGGAAATGACTTTAAAAATTCTCAAGAATTACAACACATTGGTATGTAATTATTGTCTTTTTTTTTAATTAATTTTAAGTTGTGCATAGTAAAATTGTAAAAATCTACAGTTTATAATCTGTTTCTTTATACCTATTTTCAACTATCGAACGTATAGATTGGGTTATTTTATGATAATTCTACTAAAATTATAAATTGACTTTGCATACCTAATTATATTTGTTGACAGGATCAGACTTTGTTTAAGATCATTAGTTGTTAAAAAAAAATATTTTAGCCCATATCGTTTACGCGGCATCAGCTTATGATGTAGCTTCCAGTAGTCATAAGAAATTTCCTGATCGATCCAGTTTTTCTGATGAACAAACAAAGATAAATGTTTAACTCTTTATACTACATATTAGTAGAGGCATGAAAACTTTATCGAATTCCATAAAAATACTACATGGACATAAAAAAAACATATTATGTTTGAAAAAATCAACGATAATAACCGTTACAAAAGGTAGAGATTCCCTAGACGATATTCTTTCGGCCGATTTCTGAATGAAAGTACAAAATCTCAATAACTTAAGTTATTACTTTTCACAAGGCAAAAATTCCTAGTATTATTGAACTGCTATCAAATGTTCATTAAAGAAACTAAAATCAGAAACGAAAATCTGTATAAATATAGTTTGCGGAGAGTTTAAATTTAAATTCTTAATTCAGAAACCAGCCCTGCGATTCTGTGAAAATCCAGACCCAAATTAGAATTCACGCCATTTAGTGAAGAAATTCTGTTGATACCAATTTTTGTATAAAAATACAAAACAAAATTGATTGAATATACATATCTCAGATATTCTATTCCTATGTCATATCCAAAGTCACTTCAATTATGCCACGAATCATTACCAATTAAAGGTTGAACGGATGCAGCTTTTTTGAAGTGGATTCGGACACCTGAGTGAATTCTAATTCGGGTTTGGATTTTTACCGAATCGCAGGGCAGGTGTTTAACAATTAACCGTATGCTTAGTTGTATCAAAAATGGTTGTTTGATGAAGGTCTGTGACGGGTTCGGTGCTTGGGCCAATTAATGAAAGGCTGACTAGCTTGAGAATGGATTTATTTATGGTATAAAGGATAAAGTAAAGAAACTGTAACAAACAAAAAATGAATATAAAAACAGTTCGTATGTTAAACTAAATATACAATTTAAAATTACCAAATAAAACGAATACATACCCCTTTTTGGGTTTCTTGATAAAAACTTGAATCGTCCAAGTTACAGAATACACTTTAATTATATTATTCCTATTTGAATTACTCATTCATTATTATTGACAATTATTAATAAAATTTTATGTTTAAATTTATAATATATGTGATTTACATGTTTTTTTTTACGAACTGACATCCACAAAGAATATATTTGTATAGTCGAAATTTCAAATTTCGAAAGGTGAATAATAAAAAGAAATGAATATCAAAGACAAAAAGTTTGCATGTTGAAACCTAGGGAAAATAAACGGTGGTACGGCACACCGTTACAGGTCTATCTACTTTGAATATTGGTTATGAATTCCATTCATTGTTCTTTTTTTTAGGTATGGTGTTAAATCACTTGATAGGTAAAAAAGGCAGCTTGTCGTCACTAAAAGACTATTGGGACGTGGCGACGTTTTTCGAAATATCCGTTCTTGCGCAGGATTACGTCAAGGCGATACAGGCAGCGGAATGTATGTTCAAATTGAAACCGCCCAATTGGTATTTGAAATCTACAATTGGGAACATTGAATTGATAGATAGGTGAGTTACTCATTGATAAAATTGGTGGTGGTTAGCGAGTTTGGTCTGCGATTGTGAATGTTAAGCAACTTTCGCAGTGGTCTGTCATCGGATGGGTGACCAAAAATTTACAATGTGCAGAGCCGAGCTGTTATTGTATGTACTAGCTACAGCTGCAGTCGTTGACACCCACCAATCGGTACCGGGCCGGTGTGGTGGGCTATGGAAGTTCTTCTTGTTATTATTTCCATTGCGAAGACCTGTGCCCCAGCAGTGGTGACATTAATAGGTTGTTGAATTAACTAGGAGCATCCAGTCTCAAGATAATATAGGAAATAGTTTACTTTCTTGGAGGATTTTAGAGTTATGGGACTATTCCACAATTTTAGGGAAAAAGACACAAGTTATTAGTACTGTTTGTGGTGCGTCCACACGTGAACAAAAAGTTTTGTTATTATTTTTATGAATTTATATACGAGAGTTTAAGTAGCTCGGTGGCGTAGTGGATAAGCGTCGCGGCCCGCGATCGTTGTCGTTAAGGAACTTTCGCAAGGGTCGCGGTCACGGGATGGGTGACCAAAAAATTATTATCTCGAGCTATTTCGTGCTTCGGAAGGCACGCTAAGCCGTTGGTCCAGGCTGCATTTGCAGTCGTTAATACCCTCCAATCCGCATTGGGCCAGCGTGGAGGGTCATGGCCCATCCTCCTTAACCATCCATAAGGAAGGCCTGAGCCTCTTTGTTCTATTTATTATTCTGAGACAATGCTAGGTTGTTATACTATTTTATTATATGAGTGAGTTACTCAATAGTATAATTGTTATATATCTTTTTTACAGGTTTAGGAAAAAGAATGAAGAAATAACACCTGAACAACAGGTTTTCTCATTTTGGATGGAGTATTTTGTAGAGGCAACTAAAAGCTCATGTGATAATATTATTCGGTTTCCAGTAAGTGTATTGAATATATAAATAATAACCAGCACAATAATTTTATTATAATCTTATCCTGTTTTAACCTCGGGAAATACATAATATATATTATTTTAATTCGCTGAAAACTACTTATAATTTAATTATAATTAGAAAACATATTTGGATGATTTTTAATATAATTTATTTTCTGTGTTTGTTTAGAAATAAAGTCTTTTTACATATTCCTGTGATTTAGGTTGTCTGGAAGAGATCGCTTTTAACGATAAGACCGCCTTTTTTATGTGTGCAATAAAACATTTATCTATCTACATTGAACACGTCTATATAAATGAAATAGTATTACAATAACTTATCTCATTAAACTTATTTATTACTATACATATTTATTTATTGACAAATAAATAGTATGTTAAGTTTGTTATTTTATAAATTGTTGTTTAAGAAAAAAATATTATATTTACTTTCATTTTATAGGTGCTAATATTGGAGACAACTAAGGTCTACATGCCTTCATATGTGAATGTAAATATGGGTGCGGAACAAAAGTCCGTGGAGATTCTCAATTTGTGTTTGGACTGTGATTCTATGAAAGGCACCTGCAGGAAGGTCCATAGATGGCTCTTCACCTCGGAAATGATCAGGACGTATAGGTAATCTATCAGTGGGCACAGAGGTCAACGTACGAAATTCTCTCAGATCAGCGACCGGGCTATACATTCATAAATCAGTATCAGCCAGTTGCACAAATGTCCATTAAAATTTTTATAGGTTTAAAGCGACATTACATACATATTTGACATTCATTTGAGGTTTAAGGCGTCATTAAACGTTAATGGAGGTTTGTGCAACTGACCGTATATCTATTTATTATTATCTTGATACATTACAGTTCGTAGTTTTGTCATAATTATAACCATTGGAATATTTTGTTTTATGGACCATCATCAAGGCTGAATCGGTGCTGAATTTCAGTTTGTATTGATCACAAACATTCTTACTGTGATTTCGCTGGAGACTTATTTTTTTTTTATTATTATTGAATATGTATTTCTTTGTCTAGTTTATACAAACGCGACGAACGCTGCCTCTTCCTGTACGTGAGTGAAAATTCTGATGACTTCCAAATCTTCCTCCCGTCGGAAGCCTGCAGACAACGTCTCCACGACCTCCTGGGAGAACTGACAGCTGACCACGAGAAAGTAACTGAATTAGATACTAGCGTGATGCAAGATCAACTTAAGGTAAGACGCTTCCTACATTGCATTGCGTACTTATAGACGACTAGTATCGTACGCGAGTCTCGAGGATGTATCCTACGTATACATATTATATATTTCGATACCACGATTAAATCAAGTGTTGTTAGAAGGTGATGTCAGAAGCCATAGAAACCGGAGAGAGGCAAAGTCAAAGTGTTTAATTTGCGCAATAATATGAATACACATTAAGATGTTCGATAACGTTTCAAATCCAATCCACCTTAATCTTGTAGGTACGCAAATGTTATTAATAATAAAAAAAAAATACATTAAGCAACTTAGACAAGCATATTTTCATATCAATGTCAATTTTACCGTATGACAAGATTAATGAAAGTGGATGAGGCTAAATATGTATGTAAGGACGTACTTTGGAACGTTCGGTCCTCTGCCTAGCCCGCATGGGATACGGTGCGAAGATATATATAGATAAATAGCTATATTTTATAGTCAAAATGCATACCTACCTAAAATGAATGCATTGATTTATTTTAACTAGTTCGTAAATTATTTCGCAAAAACTTTACTATCGTTGGAATCGTACACGCAATCATTCTATATATTTATTAAAGATTTTATCTAGTAGTTAAGTTATTTTATCTAAACTCCTTACGTATAACATGACAATGTGTATATTATGTTCCATGACGTAATGTTGTGATATTGTTATCTTGATTATACGTGAGTTGCATAATATGATAGTAAACATTCGTTTTCACGTTTAATTTAAGATAAAATAAGTCGTTATAACTACAAAGAGTATTTATTATAAACATGTTATATTTAAGGTGACTCCTGGTTAGAATGACGTTTTACAAAGCACAACGTGCAAAAAGGTTGTCATTTTGAACTTAATATATTAAGAAAGAAACTAAATTAAGATAATAAATCTTCTTTTAAGAGAAACTCAACAAAAAACTTCCAAACGTAACAAAATCCGACAGAAATAACAACTAACACCAAGAAATTAACTGTATTTCGAAATCGCAAAGACACGTAACAGTTATGCTATCGCTACTGGCGCATGGAGTCGGTAGGATGCATGCGGGGAAGCGCGGGGAGAATGGAGTTTTGAGCCGAGAGTATGGAGTATTATTTTACACCAATGTCTTCCATTCCAAATATGTGTATGATTATAAATTTCTTTTTAAATGATTTTATAGATTACGAGGTATTCCGCCAGCGGCAACCGCAATCATAATCATCCGTCCGCATCCGTCGCGTAGTTTTAAAGATCTAAGCATACATAGGGACAGACAGACCGATAGCTTTGTTTTATACTATGTAGTGATTATGAAATGACTTTACTGGTTTCTGTGTTAAATTTCAATGCTTTAATAAGTATTTTTTGAAAGACTTGTAATTGTTTCATTTGTTTTTATTTTATTCTTAAATACATTTTCAGTTCGAATATGAGCTGGACGATTGTAACAAACGCGTAGTCCTCGGAAAAGGCACATACGGCGTTGTTTACGCTGCAAGAGATCTCAACACACAAGTAAGAATTGCAGTTAAAGAAATACCGGAAAAGAATCTGGGTGATGTGCAACCATTACACGAAGAGATCATGTTGCATTCACAACTTCGACATAGAAACATTGTACAGGTAAGTAACAAAATAGTTTATAAGTATTGAAACCCGTTTTAAGTAGCTGTTTTGTTAAGCATTTCATTCATATTCAATAATTTATTGTATTGTATTGATTTAAGCCTGTACAATGATAGAAATAAAAAACAAACCAGTAGGGATGGCAACTGTATAAAAAAAAACAAATTATATTTAGTCTTATCAGCCAGATAATAGATAAATACTAGTTACGTATATTGTTGTTTCAATTTAATCAAGAAATAGCTTAGATAATAGGCATTAAAGTTGAGGAGTGGGGGCTTGCTACGTCACAGTTTTGTAGAAAATGTACAAAAGCGTGACGTCATGCGACATTTCAATTCAATGTATCGCCTTAATTCAATGATTACACAAAAAAATACGTTTTTTAAATTCTTCATTAATCTACCTAACGGACTAACAAACAAAAAATAGTCGTCATCCCTATTCACTATTGTAATAAAGAAATCTCATTACGTAATTGCTATAATTTCTCATTCCTTGAACATCTTCTTTATCAAAAGAGCGAGAGCGAGAAAATGACATTTGAATACACTAAAACAAACTTGATTCCACAAAAGATGTAATTAACGCCATCTGTTAACAAAATTTCAAATTTCGTCACAAATTTAACCTCATCTCAATGTTGTAAAATTTTCAGTACCTAGGCTCTATTTCTGAAGACAATTATTTCAAGATTTTTATGGAACAAGTGCCTGGAGGCTCGCTGTCAGCTTTACTGCGGTCTAAGTGGGGTCCACTGAAGGAAAATGAAGCAACTATAGCATATTACACTAAACAAATATTAGAAGGTAAGGAAGGTAATTTGCGTGTTTTGCACCTCGGGAAGGCAAGACGGATTGGATTGTTTTGTCTGTTCGTCAAGACCATTATTCTCAGGAACACGTTTAGATAACAAATTAAAATAAAATCTGACCTGCTCCCTTAGTTGAAAGTTGTAGTAGTTAGAAGTTGTATTTATTAATGTGAAAATACATACTATTTTGGTAATGACATCACCATCAGCCCTTTTACGTCCCCACTGCAGGGGCTCAGGCCATCCTTATGGATGGTTAAAGAGGATGGGCCATGACCCTCCACGCTGGCCCAATGTGAATTGAAGGGTATTAACGACTGCAAATGCAGCCGGGACCAACGGCTTAACGTGCCTTCCGAAGCACGGAGTAGCTCGAGATAATAATTTTTTGGTCACCCATCCCATGACCGACCCTTGCGAAAGTTGCTTAACGATAACGATCGCGGGCTGCGGCGCTTATCCACTACGCCACCGAGCTACTACAAGGAGTGGGTAGGGGAAAAAAAATGTTTGGACGATTCAAAAGTGCTTGAAATAAGCTTACTTGAATAAAGATATTTTAATTTAATTTCATTTAATTAGGAGATATTGGAAATATATATAGTAAATCAGCACCATCAAAAGATACGGTTCTCGCTAGGGAATCAAAAATCTTCGGACTGATTTGAGGGAAAATGTTACTCAGCATATGCAAGAGAAATCTTTGGAATTCAATCCTCATGATGACAAACTATTTACATACCAACAAATATGTTTTTAAATAAGTTTCGTAATCTCATTGCACGAGTCCGATTTGCACTTGACTGTTTTTATTTTTGAAAAATATTATTTCTTCAAATCTATGAGACGCGATTCTCCATAAAAAAATCCACAAATGAAATCATAACCTATTTTTTTAAGGTCTAAAATACCTTCACGATCAAAAGATCGTACACCGCGATATAAAAGGCGACAACGTCCTAGTCAATACATACAGTGGTGTCGTTAAAATATCGGACTTTGGTACTTCGAAACGGCTCGCGGGGCTTTGCCCTTCGACTGAGACATTCGCGGGGACTTTGCAATATATGGCGCCTGAAGTTATTGATAAAGGACAGAGAGGTTACGGAGCTCCTGTGAGTATAATACCCATTTACAGAAACGTTCATTAAAATTATTTGAACATTTCGCTAGAGCCTAAAGTCGTCATTAAACCTTAATGGACGTTTGTGCCACTAGCCGTAATAAATGAACTTTATATCAGCAGTGATAAAGGTTATATTTGTGTTTCTTGGGATATTTTTATACAAAAGTAGTTTTGATATCTGGATATTATTATATTAATGTCGTTTCTACTATATTTTTTTCTATTTTTTTCTAACAAGGTAATGTTTAAATTTAACGTCGTGATATAAGTTTTTTAATATCATCTAAAATTAATATTTTATAATACTTTTCAGGCTGACATATGGTCGTTGGGATGTACCGTAGTAGAAATGGCAACTGGAAATCCGCCATTTATTGAACTAGGATCTCCACAAGCAGCTTTATTCAAGGTAACTAATATCTGTTATGTAACATTTTTCAAACAATTTTACCGTAAAAAATATTGAAATAATAATACATAGACATAAGATCTACAAAAGCACATATTACTGTTATATTTATTTTTACTGCATAACTCTCAAAACAAACTTGTTATATAATGTTCAACTAGAAGAGCTATTAATGAGAATGTTTAGTTTAATTAATTTCAACACATTTCGTCTAGAATTTCCCATTTATTTTTACTATGCCTATGATAATCAATCAGGTCGGATATTACAAGACACATCCGGAGATACCGCATGAGTTAACGCAGAAAGCGAAAAATTTCATTCTCCGTTGCTTCATACCCGATCCAGAGAAGCGCGCAACAGCCGCTGAGTTATTAGAAGACCCTTTCTTATGCGAGTAAGTATGAGCTTACGTACGTAAGATTTTAATTTTATTTAAAATTATGCACTTACCCTTAACAAACTGTGAAAACAAACGACATTTCGATACGCTACCATTATTAGCTGTGAATTGAAACGAGATAATACGCTTCTGGAATAATGGGTGTGATTTTCTTAGTAATTTTAATATTAATTCTCTTAATTTATTGTCAGTAAAATAAAGAAATATTTTACAACTAATTTCTTCGTACATATCCTCGGAAAACTAGAGCAGTACTCTTGTCAGAGTAACTATTATAATAATAATCTTGATTGTTTTACGTATGAAACTGACATTATCAAATCAATTGGCTATTTGACATTTATAACAATAAATATTATGAAATATCTTGGGAATGGCAACATATAATATAGTAAACATATAATGTTAACAATAACTATGTATTATTTTTTGATTTAAAATAAATTACTACGAGTATTTCAAATAGAGTAGAATACCCTATTTATAATCCGTGGATTACAAAAATCCAAATGCGGGCGGCCTAGCATCGTGTGACGTCATACTTCAATAAACTAAAAGTCAGCGTCTTTGTCTTTGTTGTGACCAGTACTCGTGTTTATTGAAATGTGCAGTACCGGTTCGAAAAGTCTCGACTGTTTTTGTGAGACTATTTAAATTAACCAATAAAGATGTTTTTTCTTTATATAAATACCAAGTAATATTTGGGGTAAAATAAATCTGATAGTGGTTTTTGATCAAACGAATGTTGGAATATACTCTTCTGAAAACAGTCAAGTAGTCAATTTATAATAAGGATAAAAAAAGACGTTCTATTAAGTCCGTCAGTCAGATAATAGAAAATAATTAGATTATTAATTAGTATTTCTTGCTTCAATTTAACGAGAAATTGTTTAGGTAATAGGCAATAAAAATGAGGAGTGGGGGCTCGCTACACCATGTAGAAAATCTATAAAGGCATGAAGTCACGCGACATATCAACTCCGTAATTTATTGATTACGCAAAAATAATAAAAAAAGTTGATATTTTACCCATTATTGAATGGTCCTGACGGAGAGACAAATAAAAATTACTCATCACCCCTATTATCCTATTGATGAATAATGTTAAATCTAACGCATCATTAATTTTAATACAGAAAGAAGAAGCAGACTACTCGTCTAGGAGGCAATATGGATTACAGTCGCAGTATATCTGTACCGGCGGACAAAGCTCGTCCACAGCTCGCACAGAAAAAGATATCCGAACCTTCTATGCCTGGAAACTTGCCTAGTTCACCGGAGATCGAGTGAGTTTTTATTTTTCAATATGAGGTGTAACGAGATTGATAAGAAAGCGGAATAACTGGTATCCGTAAGAAGTATATGTAACTTGGTATCGACTAGGTTTTCTCAGGGAAGAAAAAGCTACTTTACCGAACACGAACATCTGTTCTACTATTTCGCAAATGTGAATATACTAATAATAAATATAAAAACGTTACCCCAATTGCCAATGTATACTGGGTCTCATAAACAATTTGAGGATCTCTTTCTGCATACTTGGCAATGTATGCCATGGCATACATCAGATTAGTGTCAAAAAAACAAAGAACACAGACAGAATTCAATTTTATTATTGTATTATGTGTAAAATATAATTTGTTGCGGATCTTCCTGGATCTTGAACAGATTTACACGTAGCTAGCCGATGCTTGGACTGTATAATTGAAACTTCCTTCGATGGTTTTCACTTCTTCTTTATTCTTAAATCTTGAGGGCCGGAGAGCTTACAAATTTCGCTCAAATCGACCCGTCTTACATTTGTTGGGGTGGCTCGCACTTAGCTCCGTATATTATCAGTTGGTTAGCCTATTACACATCTAACCCCTACTTTGCGAAGCCATCCCCCACCCTTAACATCTATGTATCACATTATTGTTAATTACTACGTTTTACTGTTTCTACATTTACATCATAAATCACGTTGAAACATCATCATATTATTGTTACATAACTCGTATCGTGTCGGGCAAGACCGCGCCGTCGAAGCTCATAATCATTCTAAGGCGCGCCGCGCTCTTGCCCGATGTATTTATGTGGTCAGAGCGAGACGGAAGATCCCGCGTAAACCAGCGCCGTCTCGCTCCGATACATTTTTATTGTTAACATGAAGGTAGTCGAACATTTTACATTTTAAACACCCCTGTATCGAGGCAATACCGTATAGAAACCCACATAAGCTCCCTTGACTCGGGCAATACCATATAGAAAACCCACATAAGCCTCCTTGAGTGAAGCAATACCATACAGAGAGCTACCTAAGCCTCCTTAGCGAGGCAATACCTTATAGAAAACCATAGCAAATAAAATCCAACCCCTCACAATCATTTAATTTGCTATAACTTAAATTATCTTAATACTAGGGGAATAAATACACCCATAGGTTGTATCATTTAATTCTAAGCTTTAACCACATTCATTTAACTAAACTTACTTATTATATATAATTTACTTAAGATCATCTAATATATACAACTCGACGAGACGTGCGTCCGTAACATAATTATTGAAACCGCGAGAAATCCATATAATAATAAAAATACCTTGGCCAATATAACTGAGTTTAAAATCTGGGTAACCAGAGGAGTAATCTAATTTTTATCCGACTACAGCGAAGTAAGGTTATGATTTTGGCCGGTATGTTTGTATGTAAGAATGTTCTTCTGTTCCCTTATAACTTCGAAACTACTCATTGTAAAGGGCCATCCATAAATTACGTCACACAAAATATCACCTCCTGTCACCTATTTATCTATATAAATTCTACTAGATATTATTCTAATGTCACAGTTCGTCGACCCCCCCCCCCCCCTCCCTCATTAAAATAGTTACAGAAGCCCTTTAGAGAGCATAAAGTAAGCAACTAAAAATATATTATTCAATTAGTACGTATCAAACGAAAGGGCTTCATTAGCACATTTCAAATATGTAGGATAGCGTTTCTTGCGATTTTGCTTAAATACATTAAATAAAAAAATAAATCCAAAACTAAAACCAGATTACAGCTCAAGCACATAGTAAGATTTTAACTGTATATTTTTTCAATTCTATGTATGGCAGAACATACATTGCCAAATTAAGGGTATATGCCTAAAGTTATGATATGAGTTATGTGGCGTATTGTGATAAATCACAGGTATGTCAAGAAATAAAAAACTTAACATTCTCAATTTGTTTATTTGAAATGAAACTAAACAAATCTGTTTAGGCAATTCCTAAGATTAGGCGCTTCCTTGTTAAGCTGTGCCTTGTTTTAGGATAATGTAGACGGGTGTTAATGTAGCACGGCACGATTATTGTTATTTTGCTTTCTGTTGTCTTCTTGTTACACCAAGTCAATTACATTTTAGTTTGTGATTTGTTGTTTGCCTAAATTGTTTAGTAAATGCATGAGATAGTTTGAGTTTTGGGAACCACTAACTGTATAAATATAAAATAATTTACGTTACTGAAAACTGAATTTATTTCTCATTGACATTTACAGTATAAAGGGTTTGCAAAGTATACCTAAAATACTAACATTAAATTGAAAAGATTAAAAAATGTTGGTGGTTCTAATTAGATATATTTTTATGTGGATGCTTTTTCAAATGTGAAAATTACATGTAGTATAGTTAATTTGTCTGTGACGTAGCATTTAAACTAAATAGATGGAAGTGTTCATTCACATTTATATGTTAGTTAATTAATAATATGAATGCAAGATATAGTATGGAATTTCTTTATATAGATATTATTCTTTATATAGCAAGATGTGTGGAATTTCTTTATATAGATAAAAATAGATACTAAAACCAAGGACCACCTACAAAGAAAGTCTTATTAATGTGCTTTTAATTACGTGTGTGGTGGATAAAAAAAATTGAAAAATCAACTCTAATTAGAAGTATGAAGATATTAAATACAACTAGATATTTACCCGCATGGCTTATTATGAATAATTTATTTAATGATTAAATTTTCAGTTGTAATATTTTAATGTCCGTTTGTGAAGTGATGTCCTACATCATGCCATTTTAATTTGGTGGCAGGGAGCTTGTTTTATATGATTGTTATTTGCAATACATTATATTAAGCTATCTACTGCTATTTAAATAGAACCATTATTTACTGTCAATTTTGATGTAAGAATACTATTTTAATATTATAATTAGAAAACTATTTGTTCCAATAAATACATTTTTATTTTTTTTCTAATGTTTGATTAATAAATACCGTAGATATATTACACATACAATTTCGAGCCACATTCCACCCATTCACAATTTGAAACATTATTCTATATGCATGAAATTAGCACATTTATTAAAGCCCCTTTAAGACATAAATGTAATTAAATCACTGATATACGTGATAAATTAACATTTAAAAACGTCATTTTTACACATGACTCACCGACTCATTGACTTATAGAACAAAAACCTAACTCAACCTCCAGATGATTTAAAAACAGGATATTATTGAAAATAGTTTTTTTTTAACTAAATCTACATAAAAAAATACCAAAGCATCTTTTAATGTAAAAACAAAGGCGATTTTCTTTTTAAATTAGTTAACCGCCTTTGTAACATGACTATTAAATTATAGACTTACGTTGTATTATAAAAGTGTATTCTTGTATCAATATTGTGTTAAGTAAATTTATTGTTGAATTGAGTTTACATGAAATCGATTCGCTCATATAATCATACTTCCTTACGCCAAATTCTCATCATTGGCATCTCTATAGGTGAAAATTGCTGTCAATAAAACCTTGAAAATTAGTGTTTCTCCATTACGGAATAGAGTGCGAACTCCACTGTACGTAACATTCGTTTTAACATCATGTCGTTTGCTTTGCACCTAAGCCTGTATTTGTTTTCCCGTAAAGGGTGAAAACGATCCGGTCTAATCCTACAATCACTAGGACGGCTTCGTCGATGCTCTCACCGATTCTGATTTACCCACCGGACTTGTCTAATAGCAGGTAAATTAGATTCTTTTTTAATTTAACTAATGGCACTATTTTGAAAATTCATAGAATACTATATTTTTTTTAGAGGAGTAGTCATCTAAACAATGCATCGACGTAATACAAAGGCTTAATAAAGTGATAAATAACTATAAACATAGAAATCTACGAAATATTTAAATGTAGGTAGTTTAAAATGCATATTGACGAATGAGTGACATTATCATACATTATTTCATAAAGTTTTGCATTGAGGATGTTCAAAATCATTTATGTGAACTTTAAAATATCGCATTCTATGAAATCATGTTTAAAAAATATCACCGCTTTTTCACCTTCACAAAATATCACATTTCGTAATTTTTTGCATGTCTTTTTACCCAATTATGTTTTAGTTTTTGAAATTTCGTGTAAACGCTCATTATAATCCTTATGGCGCCTTTTTGAATAAATAAATTTGTAATTTCTATTAAATTAATATAAACTAACTTATTAATCTATGTAGTTTTGAAATATACCATGTTTATTAATTTACTAGATATGGTATATATACTAATATTTAAGAAAATATACTAGTAACATAGAAATAAAGATCTTATGTTTTAGGTACTAAGCTAAACTAACAAAAGTTGATATTAATTTTTCTCAGCACGATGCCTAATACTCCGTCAACTGATGAAATGGACAGCGGTGACACTATTTTGAATAGGAGGAGTTCATCGGGTGGATTGCTATCACCAGAGGTAATTACCATAATACCATAATATGTCAAAGGGTTTAGCCGGATACGTATGACGAGTCGGCCCCCAAATGGGAATCGATATTGAAACTTATGTGTTAATATCGACTTGATGTTCAAACACGATTTATGTACTTTTCGCGACCGACTTCCGCTTTGACCTTGAGATAGAGAGCGAAATATCCGTATGCTTGACTATTACTGAATGTGATATATCTCTGAAGCTAATTAAGATAAAGAAGTGAAACTAACGCGAGGTGTTAGGTTACATTACAGAGTATATCACATATATTTTTTTATAATTTTTAGAATAAAAAATTACATTAAAAAAATAAAAAATAAAAAAATCATGTTTTTTTTTTCTGAGTTCTCTGTGACTTACAATCACGAAATTAATATATGTTATGCTCCTTTGTGTGCTCTATTACCCATAAAAATTGCGTGAAAAAAAAGTTGGTGCAACACAACGAAAAAAAATTATATGTGATTTCTGTCTATGGTATACCCCTGTATTATAAGGTTTTCACATTACATCATTGTTTTTTTTTTCGAAATTTCACATCAGCTTGTTTTAAAACATAATTAACTAGTCTTAAGAGATGGGATAATAGTTAAAAAATAAATGAAAAAAAAAACAGCCAGTGTTCAATACTTATTATTATTACTTTTTCGTGTCTATCAAAATACAAGAAACAAAATATTAATCATCGTCACTGTTGTAATTAATTACAATCGGAACACTTTGAGTCGCAAATAACTTAGCTAGGACCTCAGCAGGACGTACGATTTTGGACAAATATCATCCATATGATAGATAATAAATAATAGCTGCTACATGAGAACAGCATCCCACTGTACGTTCGCCATTGGGGCAATCACAGCAATAATGAAGAATACTATTGTAGTCATTACCTTCGGAAATATAGTGAATGTAAATTCGATAGACTTTTCTATTTATATGTCTTGATTTTACTTCTGCTTTGATGATATTAGGTGCTGATTTCACATATTGTACTGAGAGATTATTTTGATCGTCCATTATTTCGGCCAAGTTAAATGCTGCACATTTAGAAGTAGAAGCTTTTTTGTTAATATATGGGATAAGTCGACACTTCTTACAAAAATATCATTAACTATTACGATTTTATTCAAACAGTCACTAAACACTTTAGCTTCTTCTTCATTCTTTATAATTTTTTTATAACCAGGAATCATACACAGGTACTTGTTACAATTTTTACACTTTGTCGACATTATTACTTAATAATGATTAAGTAATGATGATTCGATAGTTAATAATTTCAAAATGCTGATACAAAATACCTATGACAGAATTTGAGTCCCAAACTGCCTTCTTGTGTAATACAAATGACTGCTACTTTAGCTAAACAAACGATGCAGTAAACAGCTCGATAACAAGTTCGAACTTGTTTGTTTATACACTCACACTACAAGGCGCGAATCACATATAATTTTTTTGCGTTGTGTTGCACCAACTTTTTTTTCACGCAATTTTTATGGGTGATAGAGCACACAAAGGAGCATAACATATATTAATTTCGTGATTGTAAGTCACAGAGAACTCAGAAAAAAACATGTTTTTTTTTATTTTTATTTTTTTAATGTAATTTTTTATTCTAAAAATTATAAAAAAATATATGTGATATACTCTGTAATGTAACCTAACACCTCGCGTTAGTTTCACTTCTTTATCTTAATTAGCTTCAGAGATATATCACATTCAGTAATAGTCAAGCATACGGATATTTTGCTCTCTATCTCAAGGTCAAAGCGGAAGTCGGTCGCGAAAAGTACATAAATCGTGTTTGAACATCAAGTCTATATTAAAACATAAGTTTCAATATCGATTCCCATTTGGGGGCCGACTCGTCATACGTATCCGGCTAAACCCTTTCCGCAAAGGATTTTGACATCTACCTTCAATGTGTTTAAGTTAAAAATTGAGTGGCGAAATTTAAGTTTTATATAACTTGACGTGTTGTTGATTGTACTTATAATGCTCTATAATTTATTAGAAGACAAAAGTAAAATAATCAATAAAAATTACTGACACGAATACTCAATAGTAGAATAACGCCACCAAAATAACATTTTTTATTGTATGAATAGTAGATCTTACTCATACACAATAAAGTTGAAAGTTGCGTAACATGAGATCTTGATAGTGATTGGTTAAAATTGTGCAATCGATTAATATTATCTTTGTATTATATCAACAAACGTAAATAGACACAGAAAATAATAAAACTACTTAAAAATTCTAGGTGGACATGACAAGTGTACCTCGTTCGTCTATTGACGTGGAGCACGATGGCTTTTATCTACTGAAAAAGGACTCACAACGTCGTCTCACTCTCTCCCGAGTGTTGGAACAGGATAGTGAAAAAATCTGTTCGAAATGGATGTTGAGCGTTCAGCAGGACTTTGGCAATACTCTATTGACTATGGTAAATAATTTGTATATGGACACATTGCTAATTTAAAAATGATAAAGCAGCTCGGTAATGCATGTTATTGGCGCCGGCTGCATCTGCGGTCCGTAGCCCGCAGTGGATCCACTTGGTGGGTTATGGCCCATTCTCCCTATTCTATTTGATTCCACTCCCTTCAAGGGGAAGCCCTGCCTCCAACAGTGAGTATAGGTTGCTTATGATGACACTGACAATTATACATCCTAACGATTAAAAAAAGAAGTTGGTCATTAACTTCAGTTTTAAAACGATAATTTATATTTGCAGAACCATCTAGAAACCCTTCGATGTGCACTCAAAGATTATATAATGGATCAAAACAGAAACGTCATTGAGCAAGCTATAACTACCCTCAAAGAGGAACTAGATTTTGATGCAAAAGCGATCAACGAGCTCCATTCTGCCATATACATGTTCCAAGAAGCTGTAAATGCTGTACTCAGAATGCATAGCATAAAGCCTCATTGGATGTTCGCCTTGGATAATCTTGTCAGAAATGCTGTGCAAGCCGCTATTACAGTATTGTCTCCAGGTTAATTATTTTTCATTTACACAAGTATTCACATCTGCGCCTTGCAAGTTGTAAGCAACGTTTCAGCCAAAGTCAAAATAATCTTTATTAAAATAGACTTCTTAAAAGTACTTTTGAATCGTGCAACATCTTTTTTCCCTACCACTCGTTCAGGACGTCTTTTGGCTGATAAGAAGAACGAGCAAGAAACTCGCCAGCTCTAATATGAGTAATGACATTCACAAAAACCATGTTACAGTAGCTATCAGGGCTATATAAATATTCAAGTTAAGATTTGTAAGAATACGAAAAAGCGTAAGGGACACAATTCGCCTTGGTTTCTTATGATCTTTTATAATTTTATATCGACATTCCATAGTGTGGAATCGTTATCAGTAACTTCAATCAAAATGAACTATGTTTTTACTGTTACTTCGTAATTGACATTATCGTATATCAGTTGACGAAAACTTCCAATCCGCACTGGGTCTGTGTGGTGGATTCGATTCCCTTCATAAATAAGGAAGGAATTCGAGTCATGGATTCGCTTCCATTTATAAGGATCCAGAAGCCTGAGCTCTAGAAGTATAGATAATTAATAGGCTTGTGTTGTGATTGAATTAGACTAGTAAACCATCTTAGGCGTCAGCTGAAGATTGTCACTGTAGTCATCTGTGGCTTTTGTTAAGCTCATTTGAGCATAGCTTTCTAAAAAACCAAAGTACTTACTTTCGTTCAATAAAACGCTTTATTCATTAATTGCAAACAAAATTGTTGATCAGAACTGGGCGCTAATCTCGCCGGCCAAGATTCTCGTCGTGGACCAAGTATAGGTGTTAGTGGAGTAGCCGACGCCGCCACACCTTCCGCTATATCCACCGCCACGTCCACCAGGGATCAACATCTGCATCAGTTACGGCAAGAAAACCATAAGTGAGTCGTGTAATCTATAATATTTTGTGTGTCTGTTACGTTTTCACGTCTATTACTGAATGAATTTGGACTTTGGAATAGGACATAAGGACGACACTGCAGGCTGAGAACTAGTAATAAATAACCATGTTCTTATTTTGATGCGTATTTCAGCATTGTTCCAAACAACCTGATTATAAGGAGCTGAAGTATTGCATCTCTATCCTATGTAACCCCCTTCGATGTTCTTTTGCGTTCTTATACATGTGCTTTCAACAGTGTCGAAATATCATGTACATACTAATTTAATGTTATTATCACATGAATGATCATTGAAGTTTACAATAAATAGTGTATATATTAAATAATATTATAGTATATATTATTATAAGTATATAATATTCTGTGATACCTTTTCTTTATTATGTGTCATAAAGATTTACTTTTTTGTGAAAATATAATGACTTGCACCTTCAAGCAATACGGGCGTAAATAGTAAACATAAATAATTACATTATTTTTTCTGGTAATGTTTAATGTACTATTACCGATAATTACACTTTTATGCTTATTATATTATATAATAGATAATATTGCACAAATTAATTGTGAAAACACAAATATTATACTTGTTGTCACGTGTCTTCAAACAGAGCGCGACGTCACGCCCCTCTTATATATAGAACGATCTTAAGTTCAGCGGGGCGTGACGTCATAGTGATGCCATGACAGAAGATGGCGTTGTCGGGGGAAATACGAAATTTTAATTAACTTTTTGATTTTAACTTATGAAATAAATGGTACTTCTATATAGATTTAATGTACACCCATAAAATAAAAATATTTAAAATGTCGCCTATGGGGTATCGCTGACACTGGTGAAGGTCACCAACTCTATTGACTTTATAATTTTTCCTGTAATTATTGTGTAAGCTGATTTTGTGTAAGATAAAATCATTTTATTTTGTTCAACAGGCTTCATCACGAATTAATAGAAAGCTACCAACAATACCAGTCACTTTTACGTCAAATGCTAGAAGAACAGCGAACGCAAACGCAAATGATACGGGAGCTTCTCGAAAGAAAGCCAAGGTGAGATTATTTCATTATTTTGTATTGAATTTGGGAAATATGAATTTTTCTTATAATTTCAATTCTGCTTCAACACAGATAAGTAGTTAAAAAACTTTTTGTTAACGGGGTTCGTTACATGTTAGAAGTTTAGAAGGGGTGGGGATCATGAAATTGGTGTGACTTAATCGGTGGATGGATAAATCGAATAATAATTCTTCAGAACTACAAAGGTGGTTAGCAAATTTAATGAACTTCATTCGAAGTTGGACGTTTGAGCAATGGTCGTTAAATACTTTTTTGACTCCATCCACACGGATCCGCCCGAAGACTAATCAAAACGCGGATGGCATATACACTTCACTAAACGGCGTGGGAGCCACCAAATCCTAGCCCAAATACAAATGAACTTAGTCAAATTTGTTAACACCATTAGTGGTTGTTAAACATTGATTTTAGATTTGCTTCCACGCCTGTTTTCCATTTTGTACACGTATTTTGGTCAAATTGTGATCAAGATCTATATAGCGAAGTAGTTATTTCATCGACCAATATAGATATAAAATGAAGGTTACCTATACAAAAAGTAAAAATAGTATAGTAAGATACAACTCCTCCTTAATTCCTCCTCCTCCTTAACCATCCACAAGGACGGCCTGCGCCTCTGCAGTGGGGACGTAAAAGGGTTGATGATGATGATGAATATACAACTGGATGTGGCCCACCCGATATAGCAGCGCACAAGTCTAAATTTCGAAGTGTGAAAAATTCTGATTGGCCGATATCGGGTGATCTATTATGCTATGCGTTTGACCCTGCTATGTGGCCGTGAGATGGACTACATGATTATTGTAAAAAGACTCGCTATAAATTTCATTCACACGTTCGATCATCGTTGAAATTGGTAGATCTGATTTTTCCAAAGAACATTCACCACACGTGGTATTGTTTAGAGCTTATATGTTCTAATATGGAAATAATATAACGTTTCAACGCTAATAGGACTGAAACACCCGAAGAAATAGACGAAGAACAATATAACGCAATTCGTGAATGGGCATCGCGGAAAGGAATCCCGGACTCTGCGGTGCGAGCTCTCGCCGCTAACGATTACACGTTGAACGATTTACTACGACACGCGCAACGGGAAGACATCACGAGGCTAAATTTAAAGTAAGTAACATGTAGTATTTATTATAGTGGAATGTTATAAATGGATGGTTACAATACCACTTCACGAAAATGGCCAAGTTCCCCATTATAAAATGACCAACTCCACCACTGGAAAATGGTCAACTCAGTCACTTGTAAATGGCGAACATCACCACTTGATAATATCAAACTCCACCATTAGAAAATTGCCAACTCCACTATTTAAAAATGGCCAACTCTACCAACTGAAAATGACTCGTAACATTTTAACTAAAACTCATTATAACTGTGATGTACAATTTAGTAATTATTGATCATCCATTAATTGACATCATGATGGCGCAACCTTCAGCTTTGTTGAATATCATTAAAATTGTTGGTACCAGAACTTTATTATGATACGTATCAAATAGTCACTCTAATACAACACATTCGTTTTTCATTGTCAGCTGTTTTAGATATATTTAACACTAGCTTTTGCCCGCGACTTCGTCCGCGTGGTAGTTACTTTAAGTTAAATATATATCGTGTGAAATACCTGAAATAAACTTTCATATCCTATTTTATCCCCTTGGTAGAATTGATCAAAATCCTTTCTTAGCGGATGCCTACGTCATAACATCTACCTGCATGCCAAATTTCAGCCCGATCCACTCAGTGGTTTGGGCTGTGCGTTGATAGATCACTATGTCAGTCAGTCACCTCTGAGTTATGTATATATATAATTGTGAGTCTTGAAAATTGCTTAAAAATACGCTTTCTCCGTGGGACTCTGTGATGGATATTTTCCAGTATGGCATTGCGAATGAATCAAATGTAATGATGATTATACTATATTCAATAATATTCACTCTTCATCTCAATTCAAAATTGCTAGGGGTGGCGTAGAGCTCCGTTTATGGCGCGCCATATTAGACCACCGTTTGAACAATATCAACCATCTCCGTCGCACAAGCAGCACAGAAACAGACATGGACACAAACTCAATAGTAGTAGTGGAATGTCAACGGTGTAAAACAACGCAGAGGACAATATCGAATAACTCGTCGTGTTCAAACAACCCAACAATAGTTATAAGGGATCAACAGTTGAACGGCGAAGGGGATGCGGAGATTTTCCCAGAGAATGGTGTCGATAATCCTTGACTATTGCGCGGGTGGTGCACTCTGCAATGAAGAGCTCAAAATGTGAAAAGCTATAATCGATCTTAGATCTATAGATATTAAAACGTTTTTCATAAACATTGTTAATCAATTCTATATACGTTAAACTTTAAATAACGCTATTGGGCGATTGCACGATACGATACGACACGAACTGCACGATATTGTCGACACAGTATTTGCCGTAAATATAAAATACAGAGAAATGTAAGTTGTTTGTTAACAACTGCTATTATTACCTCGAATATTCTATTACGCTTTTGGAATCACGCGGTTACTTTTGACTGACTTGTAGCAAGCTGTTAGTTATATCAGGTCACATACCGATATGTATATCGCGACGATATCGTTTTCGTCCAAGCTGACGATATTTGACTATCGTGTCGTGCAGAAAACGCTCATTGACGCAATGTTGTTAATATTAAAGATTATTTAAAGTTACAAATGCAGATAAATTTGAATTAAAAGCAATATTATTGCAATATCTAGAAAGAAGTATGATCGATAGCTGTAAAAAAAAAACAAATTTCTCCACTTGATTTTTACACTTTATGCGTTGTAGGTAGAGTTCAAAATTAATTGAAGTAATTTGACATATTTTGGTAACCTCACATGCAGCCGTGTTTACGTTCTTACTACGTGCAGAACAATAATAAGAAATTACGTTACTAGAATTACTGTTTTATGTTGGTCTTATTGAAATTGGTAACATTTAATTTCACGTATTTCGTAATTTATTTAATGTAGTCTTTTATGAAAAAGGTTACCACATTTAAATTGTTTGATTTTGAAGGAAGCCGATAAATAATTTAATAAAAACACGGTTGAAAGTGTGTAGAGAACCATAATATTTCTAATTTTTCTATTAGGTATGAAAACATATATAAGGAATGTTGTCAATATTCTTATAAGTCTTTTAAACTGGTTGTGTTTTTTAAACTAATCACAATATTTGGTGCTATATACTGATTGTAATCGTTGTTTGCTTTTCACAACACGCTATAATATACCTGCTTGAGCCTTTGAGTGTGTCACCCTTTATTTTTAATGTTAACTTTATGACTCAATAAAATTGACATCCCAAGAAAAACCTCTTAAAATGGTTCAAAAATTGTTTTACCTAAATAGTAAAAAAAAATATCATATTTAAGAACTTATAGATAAGTTAAAATAGATGTATGGACATCTTTGATTTAGGTTTTAAGTGATTTTTTTCGTCTTCTTTTCCGTGAATCGTCCTTGTAATCAATTCGGTTTTTCTCATCATTTAGATGTCACATAATTGAGTTATATTGTTACACTTACATAATATTTATTGGAATAACATTTTCGGGGCGTATTCAAACTGAATTAGTGTTTTGCAATTCATTAAATTTTGATAATAATCTTTCATTAACAATATTTTTAAGTATAGCATTGTAAATGCAACATTGATCAAATATAATAGTGTTGAGAATTAATTATAGTATCTGCTTTTGTTTGAATACACCCTCATTGTAAATATCTTTATTTGAAACTAGTCTATGTAAATATTTCTTTTCTGGTTAAGGAAAGCATAATACGTTAATGTTATACATATTTAAAATGTACGACATGGGAGTTGAAACAAAATGGCGACTGCGCAGGGCTTCAAATGAAAGGTAACGCCGTCAATTTTTGTGCCGTTATGCCGTGCAATACATTATGAACTTGTAAATTCACATACAGCTAATTTAGGTGCTATAATTGTGATTCTAATTATGAAGTGCCTTTTACTAAATGCTTTAAAAGATGTTTAGAATTTTGAATTATTCTAAATTTAATATTGGTTCTAAGTTGTTGTTATAGTTTCGTTTATTAGAAGTGTGCGTGTATTAACGCTCTTAACACATTAAAATAGAGCGTAAATTTGAAATTTAAATGCGTATTCTTATAAGGTAACATTTGTACACGTGCGTATATTTTTATTTATTTAATGTGCAGTTTGTATATATAAATAATATAATTGTTCAAAACAGCCATTGATTACATTTTCAATCGTATATAAGTTTTTAAACCAGTGAAATAACACTTAAATATATGAGCGTTAACTATGAAGTAGGTCTGTGCCATACCTTTATCTCCAGGAAATTGTGTTAGGTGAGTCATATTTTGTACATCTCGTTTTTCCACCATGAAAAATTATGTATGGTAACAGATATATTTTTGCAAAATAGTTTCCGATGGAAAAATTCAAAATAACCAAGTTTTTACTTTAGAAGTGCCATAATGAATATTTTGTTAAAAAATCCATTTGGTAATTTAAAATAATATACGTATTTGTTTACATAGTTTAAAAATATTTTATTTGTAATATAGAATAAGCATCATTGTGTTTTCAAATAGCAACGATAAAATATGACTCTGGGTTACTTGAAAACAAAAATAGTATTTAAAATTATATTTATCATCTTAGAGGCATTTTTTCGTTAATAATGTAAAGTAAATCTTGTGACTATATACATTACAGCTTAATTTCATATTCTCTAGAACAAATCGTGTTTGCATCCGCCGATTTCTATGAAATTCAACTTTCTCATATTAAGTTTATTTCTAATATTGCTACAGTTGTCATAGTATGTAAGATATGCAGCAAATAAGGTCTCTGACAGTATGTTTTATCTGATAACTTACACAGCAAAACATGAGGTAATAAAAAATACCGAACTCGCAATAGATTTCTTCTTTGTTGTCTATGTATTAAGATTTAAAATCGGTTTTTATTAACTTTAAATGTCTTAATTACATCTACTTATCCATTAGAGTAAAATATATTTTCTAAATAATTAAATTTAAAGTTTACTCATTAGCTCTATCTTAGGCTATGAGTGTCATTCATTGATCATAAGAAGTAACATGAGCACATGAACTATTAACAAATAACTTCATGAGAATAATGTTAATTACATATCTGATAATAATACTCAATAGTTCTTATTAAGTACAAAGCCTGTATATATTTTTCGCTTGTTTTGAAATTATCTATACAGAAGTATGATAATACCACACTAGTGGGCTTACTCCTAACATTATCAAATGTTTCACTAAATGTAATTGTAAGTATGTAGTTATTGCACTATTAGTAACATTTTCATTAACGCAATTCGTAATTCCATAAAAAAAGTTGAGTGATTTCAAAATTCAAGTGTTTTTCATTTTGTATGTAATTTTTTCATTTGTATTAAAATTCAAGTAGCTTCCAATGTTGGCATGGTAAAAAAATATAAAGTGCTTCCATTATAACTAACGTTAAGTCATGCAACATGTTGAAATTTTCCAAGAGTTGTTACGCAATATTGTGAGAATAAATTTTGTACAGATTTAAAAATTTAAAACCGTGTTTTTGCTTTTTTACTACCCGAAAAATGACCTTGCACCGATACTATGATAAATTGCATAGTCAAAGAAAACAAATATTTTGATGAAAATTATTACTTTTACTAATATAAAACAATGTTTTGTGAAATTAATTTGCTGAAAGATTATCGATTTCTTCAAATCGGGCATATATAACTATACAATTTGGCAACTTCCATATTTGCAAGATACTTGTGCACCGCAAATAAATAATGCACGGTCACTTAATTTGTTGTCGCAAATAATTAGAGTTGTCCAACTATCGGTAGTTTAGTGATAGTCGATTATCGATACGTTACCAACTCATGAGGTAACACGCGTGTGTTGGTTGTGGGTGGCGAGGATATTTGCTACCTATTCACGTGTTTATTTGCGAGTGGTGCAAACTCATTTTGCGGAAACTATCTGGGCGTGAAAGTTGCTTAAAGTTGTTTCACCAGATAACAAGAAAATATTTGATAACTAAATATGTAGTAACGACAAATTTTACAGAAATATAACCGGAATTTAGATATTTCATAAATGGCCAACTCCACATATTTCATAAAGCATTTGCCAAATTCTCACAGGTTATTATTGAAATAAAATCATTTAAAATTCATATTATTTATCGAGTATCTATACTTTTGCCCAAACTCCAAGTAAATGCTGGAGACGCCCATGTTGTAGTGTATTACTGAATTTTTTCATACCCAACATATAATATTTTAAACTTGTCAATCATATAAAATTAAGTCGTTGTTAAGTTTTTAGACATCGTGTTATGTATATTGTATTTAAAAGCAATGTTATTAGAAGAGTAACTAATAATAAATGCCTAATACAACTATTTTGTGTTTTTTTATTTCCTAAAGGCTTTCCAATGTACATACAAAAAATCTGTATGATTATATTGATTATTATATACCTCATATTTTGACAACCTTTGGTTCCCAAAGTGTCTATATCGACTTCCCAAGGATCGACATAAGCGAAAAAAATATTTATAACATATGCCACCACGTATCTTATCGTGCCAAGTTATGTGGTTGACTGGCAGAGAATTTCTAATGACATTAAGGCCGCTGTCATTCTAAAGACGTCCTGAAGGTGGGGAAGGAAAAATACGACGATTTTAAGGTGGTTGAAATAAACATACCTACTTAAATAAAAGAAATTTCAATTTTTCATAATGTTACTTTTGGGATACGATGAGAATTAATAAAAAACCAAATGATGATAATTTACCCTGTTCTAAATTTCTATATCTTTCTTAATTACCATTGAATCTCAATGAACCGCACACACCGCACCATATCAAAACAAAAAAGTCGTCATTTGCTTTCCGAATAACATAACGCAATTAATCGGTGACTGGAGTTTTATTTGTAAGTTTATGTTTATACTTAAAAATATTAATTTAGTCAGAAACGTGGCTTATTTTATTTCTTGGATTTTTAACACTGACTTGGAAAATTAGTTTATTGACTTTAAAGCATAGCGAGGCTCCAATTGTGCGGGGCCCTCAAACGCGCGGGGCCCGTAGCATTTGCTACTTGGCTAATCCGGCCCTGTTTAAACTATAGACATCGAAAATGTTGTAAACATTTGCAACAGGTGTGTCGCCCACACAAAAACTATTTGAATACACTCAAAGTTATAAAAGGAGTCGCAATAAAGTGTCTTGATACTTCTAAATATAGTGGAGCTAAGCCCGAAGGTATAAATAAAGATATTCTTTAGTACAAACAGCCAATCTGGAAGCAGTCTTCCTCCGACTTGAGTAAGTTCTCCCCAAGGGACTTAAGCAAAGAGACATTAATTCACCCGATGTTTGCAGGCTAACGTCTGCTCTAATTTACATACGATACGAGACGTACTAACTTATGTTAAGAACGTCTGCCATTAGACGTTAGGTGTCGTGCTTTACTTGCATTAAAATTACGATGGGTTCGTAAGGGTGATAAAGGTAAGTATTGATTTCAATCGTAACCTTAATATACTGTTTCCTCGGCTTACATTTACAGTTGCGTGATGATTAATTAAAAAACTGACTTCTAACATCAGAATAAGTTGTGTAACAGGTATGTAGTGTATTACAACGACCTCCGTAACCAGGTTTGACATGAACGTCAAAAAACTCAAACCAAACTCGACTCTAAGTAATGTATGTGTATAATGTCATCCAATATTTATATCTCCAGAATTTCTTTGTTTACATGTTTGGAGCGTCCCAGTGATGGCGAATACTGAGAGCCTAAGCATGCTGGTGGTTGCAGCATGCTTAGGCTCTCGAACGTAATCGCGACGTTTTTTTACTCTTAACTGGGTACACTAACGCCAGAGTATGCTGGTGAACCAATCAAGAGTACGGAACGGCACAATTACAATGTTGATGATCGCG